GGCTGGGGAGTTGGTGCACCCCGCTGTGAGCTGGGGGCTGGGGTGGTTCCCAGCCAGGGTGTCTCTAGGCCAAAGCTTGAACCACAAACAGACCCTGGCAGCACCTCGGAGACCGCAGCGAGTCGATGGGTCGAGCTATTGTGGCCCAGCCCGCTGCCGCAGATGAATGGCGATGGGCGGGCCAGGGTCAAGTCCATGTGTTCGCACCTGAGCCCCTCCGCTCCATTCATCTGGAGCAGCGGGCTGCGCCCACAGGTTTATCTACTTGTTTTTATTAGTCTCTAAGTGCTGCAGGACTATTTAAGGTTTTTTTCCAGTTACAAACTAACACGGCTGCTCTCTGAAACTCAATGCAAAAGAATAATTGGCCACAAATCAGACATCAGAAATGGTAACATACTAAAATCAGTGGGAAACCACTTTTACATTCCTAGACACAGTTACAGACTTGAAAGTTGTTGTTTTGAAGGTTTTTTGGTTTAAAAAAACAGAATGCAGGAAGATATTGCTGAGCTGGAATTAATTTGAAAATTTGATGCCATCAAGATGCATCTGAATAGAGACTGGGCATGGCTGTCTCATTACAATAAGTAACTTTCCCCTTCAGGTATTCTCACTTTCTTACCACTGTTGGGAGTGGGCCAAATCCACCTTGATTGAATTAGCACTAATGTAACATTCCCGTCTCTATAGGTTTCTTACAGTTCACGTCCTCCGATGCATGAAGTGAAACTCAGGACAGCTTATGCCCTAATAAAATTGTTAGCCTTTAAGGTGACCTCAGACTCTTTGTTTTTGCTGAAACAGACTAAGACAGCTACATTTCTGAAACCTTTTCAACAGTTGTAAATCCTAAACACAATCTGTCCAAAAGTTTCAAATGGGTAGCTGACTTAGTCTGTAACTGGAAAGACTTAAACAACAAAATAGTCCTGCAGCACCTTAGAGACTAAAAAAAATTAGATGATATCATGAGCTTTCATGGGCACAACATACTTCTTTAGATAAAGAAATCTGTTCAAATCTGTATCCATAGAAAGTGGCTTTGGAGATGAGAATTATGAAATGGGACCCACAGTAGTGGAGCATCAGAGTGTAGTTCCCTACTAATCTTGTATCCACTTACCTGATTAGAGTTGGAGCATGTCTTTACCAGGGATGTATGGGGCAAGCAACACGTGTAATATATGGAAGACGACATTCACACATGGAACAAGAATATTCTCAGGCAGGGACTTTAATAGACACTTGTTTACATTCATCTTACAATGTTTCCCACCCCAGCTGACATTTATGACAAGACTGCAGCAGAAATCGAGAAGCAAGGCTACGACTGTGAGTGCTTGGGCGGGGGCAGGATCTCTCATCAGAGCAAGGAAAAGAAGATCCACGTTTATGGATATTCTGTGGTAATCATGGGAGGATGCTCTTGGTTTGCTTGAGGAACTTGTAACCAGTCTCAAGGACAGTGGGTGGAGAGAGGAGTTTTTCCTTTTATGCTGCTATCTTTGCTGTCTGAGCAGCAGCCTGAAACATCCCCACCCCCACCCGACCCCGACTCCATGCAGTTTTGATATGGAAGCTGGCATCGTACCACCCTCTAACTGGCTCTAAGGTAGTGAAGCTTCAAAGGTGGTATTAGGTAGGCTGGTAACCAATAGCCCTTGTTACAAGCCAAGCCTTGAAGACCAAAAGGACAGCAGTATTGGTGTGGAGCCCAGTTTGGAGTCTAGCCCTGTATCCTGTCTTCTGACAGGGTCCAGTGCCTGATGCTTCTGGCAGTTGGAAGCATAGGGACATCCAAAGCACAGTGTTGTATCCTTGACTGTTGTAGCCCACAGCCATCAATGGACCAATCCTCCATGAACTTATCTCCTTTTTGGAACCTGCTTATACTTTTGGCCTTCTACATTGGTGTGATCCATGAATTGAATGAATGAAACTTGCTGTCTGTCTATGCTGGCCGTGAGTTCTTGTGCAAGTACACTGACATTCTAATGTATGAAATCAGGGCTTCTTGTGCAAGAACTCTGATGCTTCTGCTCAGGAATAAGCCCTCTTGTGCAACTGTTCTTGTGCAAGAGGCCAGTGGAGACAGGCAACAGGAATTTCTTGTGCAAGAAAGCCCTATGGTTAAAATGGCCATCAGAGCTTTCTTGTGCAAAAGAGCGTCTACACTGGCATGGATGCTCTTGTGCAAAAGCACATCTTTTGCGCAAACGCACATGCCAGTGTAGACGCTCTCTTCTGGAAGAGTTTTTGCACAAGAACTCTTCCGCAAAAGAGTTCTTGTGCAAGATCATGCCAGTGTAGACGTAGCCAAGGATTTCACAGATAGGGATGTTAAATTGCATGTAATCAGCTAATTAAGTAGTCAACATAATTTCCATCAACTACTTGAGTAGTTAAGGGGGAAAACTGCAGAGCCATTTCCCTGAGAGCTAACCCCACTCTGGCTCTGCCTCTTAAATGTATTAAGAGCTGCAGCTCATAATACATTTAAAAGGCAGATGCGCAGCAGGGGGAGCAAAAGTGAGCTGGGAATCAGCTGATTCCTGGCTTGTGCCCAGACCCCCACTACACCTCTGGTTCCCCCCAGCACCAGCTTATGCTCCCCCCGCTTTCTGCCTCTGAGAGGCAGCAAAGGGGGGGGAGAAGTGACTAGTGGAGTCACTACTCCATCAGTTGCTTACATCCCTATCCACAGGTTGACTGTACCTTGTGTGAAGAAGTACTTCCTCATGGGTTTTCTTTTCCTAAACTTGCTCCTCTGATATGTCCCAATGCATGGTCTAAACACAGTATTTGTATTAGTATAACTGTCAGTTAGGGATGTAACTTCTTTACTGATTTAGTTACGCTTGTACAACTTTGCTTTAACTACATTAGTATAGTTAAAACAGTACAATCTCCCTGGGACCAATGAGGATCTCTCTGTGTTAAGGTGCTGTGACGTAGTGGGGGTACCTGGCTGGTTCTCTGGGGCACAGACCTGTTCCTTGGTCTCGCCCCGTAGTTGACTCCCTCCTTCGCTCAGCCGAGATCCGGTCTCTGCGCGGTTCCCTCTCTCTCCGGGACTCCCGTTCACACCCGGACCGGCTCTCCGTGAACTCATCCGCCAGATTCCCAGCCTCCTGGGGGTTCTCTGGTCTTCGGTCCTTGAGCCACAGCCTCAGTTTGGGTGGGCACGCTTCATAGAACTGCTCCATCATGAACAGCTTGAGCAGCTCCTCTGCGGTCTGGGCTCCGACTCCAGACACCCACTTGCGGCCATATTGCGCCAGGCGGGAGGCCAGATCCACATAGGTCTCCCGTGGCTCCTTCTGCACCCCCCGGAACCTCTTCCTGTACATCTCGGGGGTCAGCCCGAACTTGTGCAGCAGGGCCTCCTTGACTCGGTTGTAATCCCCTGGCTGTAGGTCCTCCAGCTGACTGAGCACTCCGGCCGCCTCCTGGCTCAGTGCGGGGATGAGCTCCTGCAGCCAGTCAGCTGGGGGAACCCGTTGCAGTCCACAGGCCCTCTCAAAGGAGCTGAGGAACCCGTCTATGTC